GTGGCCTTTATGGCACTCCCGCTCCATGTAATCCGAGTCAGGAGTGACGGCGCGCTTAGTGGTGTCTCCGGCCGCGCCCTCTCTCGCCTCCGGTCTTCTAGACTTGGTTATGACACTAATCCCACGTGGGATGGGGGAGAGAGCGCAGTAGATGCAGCGCAAGTCTACTCTCACTGTAACCTAATTCACGCACAAGTCAGCGCGCTTGCTTCCAGCCAACTATATTTTTAAAGACGTTTGGTCTTAGCCCAGATGGGAAGGTTACACCACGAGACTTATAAAATGAATTTAATTAAATATTAATCACCCATAAATGCGTCATTAGCTGCCAACATTTTTACGACAAACTTAGGCATGTGATGGCAGTGTGTGTAAACTCCACGCTTTGTCCTATGTTGGTCTGCTGTTGTGCAAATTGCCTTTACCATTTTTTTCGCTACCGCGTGGTAAACGAATTGGGAGTATATGGAGAAATATGACCTCATCAGAACGTCCTGACATGCCCTAAAGTTCTTTCGTCGTTTATTCTTTTGGTCTAGACTACTCTTGCGCTCTTTCAAAAAGCAGCAACGGCCTCCTTCTGCAGGGCCGCATGTACATTACCGAACACTGGATTTGTTTCTACTCAAAGATCATTTATGAACAAAAGGTGAGTCACATTGAGCACTGTTTGATCGTTTGCTTCGCATCTCCCACTCGGTTACACTTTCGTTCCGCGCATTTCACCGGTTTTTAAAATATGGAAAAGCAGACGCGATGAGTGATCACCATGAGGGCAACTATTGACCGTTATTTGGAATTTTTGGGACTGCAGTGTGCAAGCAGACGTCCGCTCCTAGTTCGGTTGCAACGCACTCCTTTTTGTCCGTAGAAGCCCTAAAGCATCCAATAGATGACAGCAAAACGCTAGATAAATTAGCTAAACTGAGACCTTCCAAGGAGTATTTGTCAACTGCTTAAATAAATAACTTCCTTTAACCAATAACATGCACCTAACCAATGGAGCACTTGTCTTTTGGAAACTTCTTGCACAATGTGCAACGTCTAGTCTTCTTGTGGAAAATGCCACGCTGACTTCAACTTCCTAGAAATGTCTCTCTGTTCCACGCAGACGCCGTTGGCACATATCTTCGCTTAACTTACAGGACAGTGTTAATGTTGTTGGAATGAGACAAACGGTTTCACGGATAGTTAAATGATCGATTGAACTATTTAAGCTATTTGTGTCCTATTTAAATCATTTGGTACATCTTTAGTAGCTCCGCTATCTAAGGCTTTATATGCTTTATCCAACTCATTTAAATAGGGCAGAAATAATTCTCATACAGTGCATTTAACTTCGGAAATCAATTGATCATTGAACTTTCCGGGGAACCGTTTGTCACATTCTGACATTTACACCATCCGGCAGTCCGAATCCGTTTCTTATGCGAAGCATGTCCTTTGAAGGCGCACTTGTGTGCGAGCTCTGTTGCCTCATCTTTTCTGCTGGACGGAACACTGGTTTGCAGTTCGTTGACTTTCAACTTACTCTTCTGCGCTTTTACCCCTCAGATATTTCTTGCTGTGAAGGACGTTATCCTCGTGACGAAGGCGAAAACCGCCCGAGTCATTCCCAATGCCATACAAATCACAGTCTCCGCGCCCAAACTGGAACGCTACTTCTTCACTTCGTTTGCTGCTCGAGAACGGACGTATGCCATCCTGAAAAAGGTCTGCCAAAACTGCCACGGTGGCGGGGTAAGTTTTCTCAGACTTTCTCTCATGCATTTTTCACGAACATCATCTATTCCTGTTCTATCTCGCTGTTTCCGATATGTTCTACTTTTCCGTTAGCGCTTGCTGCC